ATATTTCATGCTTTATAAATAAGTTATATGACATATACATTTATTATAAAAATATATACAATATATAAAATGATATTAACTTTTTACATAGATACTTTGATGTGAATATACATAATATGGAGCACATAATATACATAATATATACACATAAAGCACTTGAATAAAAGTATTTCACAGAAATTAGAATATTAATGTATGTAACTAAATAATGTAAATGTTTGCAAAAATGTTGCAAAATTTATGTATAATACATACACTTTTTTATCCTTCAGAGTGCCTTCAACTCATTTTTTTCAGCCGGGTTTCGTAGCACATAACACAAACACACACGCACACACACAACTAACACACACATAACTAACCTAAAAGACTCTGTATATGACAGATAGCACTGAGAACTGTATAGCGCCTCTATCCCAAAATCCCGGAACTAATCTATTGCCCTTTTTTACCTCATTATCGTCTATATTGCACGCATGTTTTGCATAAATTCTAATTCAGGAAACATTTTTAGACTACTTCTCTGAACTCAATTCTAACAGTTCCCTATTAATCTTTGATATATTCTCTTTCGGCCGGAATGTTAATTTTGCACCTGCAAGCTGTATAATTTTTATATTAAACAAATATTTGTATGCATCGACAGCTTGTCGGTAAAATTTCCAAATTTTTTTCTGTTTTTTGTTTTAAATGTTATACCAGCCGATTCTTTGAGAGACCTACCGATGAAAAGGTTTTTGTATCGTGTGCCGACTGCCAATTTCACGTATGGCGACCAAGAGGTGAACGGTTGAATCCAAACCATGTTGTGCCTATCCACAGAAGTGAAAGGATTTCATGCGCAATGTGGGGCTGGATTTCCGGCACTACAATTGGTGAGCTGGTGGAAATTCCCACACGTATGAACTCTGTGGAGTATATTCGCATACTGGAAGATGTTCTGCTTCCATCAGTACGCGCAATCTACTCCCCAGAGGACATGCCAGTAATCCGATTGGTGCAGGATAATTTCGCAGTCCATACATCGCATGAAACACAAACATGGTTTCGGAATCATCCGGAGATCTAATTGGTTAACTGACCTGCTCGTTCACCAGATCTAAATTTGATCGAAAATATTTGGGCACAAATGGTTCAACGATGGGAACCAAGAAGGGAAAGGACGGCAGCAGCGCTAGTTAATCATGCGAGAGAAATCTGGGAAGAACTTCGGTTCCGACCAGACTTTCTCGCTAACTTAATTGATTTGATACCCCCCATCGAATCAATCAAGTTATTGACCGGTCCGGATATTGGACGAATTATTAAGATGTTTCCGCGCTAGTCACACGATCGGCCCTTTTTAGGGCCAATAAAACTTTCACACCGCGAATAGAAGCGCCTATAGGCGTCTTACTCGCCGAATACGTGTCCACTCACGTGTTACTTACGCATTCGGACAAGTGAGATGTCTACAAGTGTTTCTATATATTTTATATACATATGTATGTATGTATGTGTGTGTGTTTGTGTACGTGTGTGACATAGAAACGCCTGTGTGTGTGTGTGTGTAAGCGCGCGCGCGCGCGCGCGCTACTTCATTGGCGACCGATATTAAAAATTGTTTACGATATTAGAAATAGTTAATTTGCGAAACTCTGCACAAAAATGACTTTCAGAATGAAGCGCTCACGTAGAACAATCGGGACGTATTGCAAAAGTCGTAATTTTCAGCTAATTAATGTAGTTTAGAATGAAAAAAGATCATGATATATTCGCGAAATTAGCACGCCAGTTGATATATCTGAACAATTGATGTATCTAAAAATTATTATCATCAGCGTATTCTATTCATTATACTACGTATAAAAGCATAAAAATAAAATCATCAAGAAATGACTACCAGATATTTCGTATTTAAAGCTAAAAATATTAGGATAAGATGCAAAATACCTCGTAAAGAATTCACTTCTAACTTAATTATTTTTCTACGCAGAACGATGAAAGGAATTAACTTAAAAAAAGCCATAGTTTGGCTTTCAAAAAGTGGAAGTGATCATATCTCGGAAAGAGACCTCCACTTGAAACAAACTGTGCTGATTGGATGTCTAGAATATCTCCCGCGCAATCAAGCAATTTTTCTATGATATATATATTTTCGAATAAATCTTATATTTGAACATTTATTGGAGATAGTATGTCCTAGCGACTTATCCTGTTCCATTATTACTAATTTTGCTTATAATAAAAAAGTTATTAATTACGCAATCATAAATGAACCAATAATTAATCAGGACGAGCGTGTATTTTTGTTACGGAAGCAAACAATTCTTATATTTGTATAATTAAACATTTCAATACAAATTTCTATTCTTCATTAAATTAAGCCTCTTTATATGATATAATAATTAATAGAATGAATTCCGGCGGTTGGTGCACGCGGCTCAGCTACGTTTCTTAAAGGAAAGAAAGAAAAGCACGACACATAAGTGTTAAAGCGAACGAGACATCGATAGGGACACCGAGCTGCTCTAACTGTCTCGCTCGCACTTCCTTCATTAGACGGTCGCATGAGGAAGACAGTTATAGGGACACCACTAACTTGACATCACGTCTTGTAATGCTTTCTCTCTCAATCGTCCGATTTGCGCTAAGGATGCAAGATGAAAATATCCCCCACTACTTTTCCCCTTGCTGCTCGCTGTGCTCCTCGCTTCAAGCGACACGTCAAATACGCGTTTGTGTGAATGCGTGTGACGCCTTCGGTTGTTTCACACACGTATACCGTTGCCGGCGAGGGACACATACGTGCCGGTACGTGTACATACATGTGGTAATTATTTCACATGCATAGGATATGCACTTTATATACTTTTCACATTCTCTGTATATACATAGAATATACAATATACATATATGTATATACATAGGACATACATAGAATGTCCTAATGTTTATTGGGTGCTGATCTATTAGTATATGTATTTTAATCACATAAAAAATTTCTATTACAAGCAATAAAAAAATTTTTGCTTTTTGCGATATTAATTTTGCATCGGTAAAACAGACGATTCCAGTATCCTCTTAATACGATTAACAACACGAAAAGGAATAAGGTGGTTAAAGTGCTCTTCTAACTGCATCTTCATGAACCCAACATGTGAACAGATAAATAAATCCTACTGATAAAAAGGTACTTTATTATGATGATGTGTTGTAGGTAGCGATTTAAGATTTCTCATATGTATCCTGTGCTTTTCAAGAAAAATTCCAGGATTTGCTTTGGATCTTTTTTTGTGAAAAATTCTCCAAGAATACAAAAAGTAAAGCATTTTTGCTGGTGAAACATTTAAATTTTTTTTAGTACAGGTACGCAATCCCAATAATACTGTGGGTAAAATCTCAATTATTGTTGGAATGACACATGATGGCACTTTTAAGAGTCCAATGCCAACGTTCCAGTATTCCATTTAAGGCTGGATGATAGGCTGAAGTCCTTATTCGCTCGCAACCAATAAAGTTGGTAAGAGCTTTGAACATTGCAACTTCAAATTGCGGACCTTGATCTGTAGTGATCATATGCGGAACGCCATATCTTGCTAACCAGTGAGTATAAAAGGCTGTGCTGACTGTTTCTGCAGAAATTTCAATTAAAGGTATTGCTTCCGGCCATCTTAAAAATCTATCAATCATAGTTAAATAGTATCTAAAATTTTGACAAGGAGGAAGAGGACCAATAAGATCTAGATAAATGTTTGCAAACGTTGGAACATCCGGAACAGTTATTTTTTGTGGAAGATTCTTTGTGTGCTTCTGGATCTTATTGTTAGTTTTTTGACAACAAAGGCATGTTTTGGACCATTCTTTAATATCCTTCTTTAAATTGGGCCAAACAAATTTTTGCTGAATTAACTTACAAGTTGATCGACCACTTGGATAAGCTAATCCATGAACAACATCAAAAATTCTTCTACGTAACTGTTGAGGTACGTAAGGTTGAATATTAACGGTAGAACAATTACAAAAATAGAAGAAGTTAAACCAGTAAGAATAAGTTTCTGTAATTTTAGTGAAGAATTATTTAAGAGAAGAGTTTTTAATTCTTTATTCTTTTTTTGTATTTTAGCTATCTCTTCAAAAGAAACAATTACTGGCATGGAAATAGATTCGATTCTTGAAAGAGTATCTGGCACTGCATTTTGTTCTCCTAAAATGTGGACAATGTTAGTAGAGAATTGAGCTATAAAATCAAGATGCCTAATCTGTCTGGGCGATGCTTTGTCAAGCTTTTGACGAAAATAATAAATTAAAGGTTTATAATCTGTTCTAATAAGAATCTGTCGTCCTTCAATGATATATCTGAAATGTTTAATAGATAAATAAATTGCAAGAAGCTTTTGATCATAAGTACTATAATTCTGTTGAGTTTTATCCAATTTTCTAGAGAAAAAAGCGATTGGTTGAGTGAGTGATGCCGCGGAAGAACTTCCCAGCCCAAATTAAAAATGGTTGCTGAGTGGTCCGAGCAACGTGTGGCCTAGCGTTATCGTCTAATATAATAACTTTCCGACTTCTTTGACCAGTAAATGGTCTTTTTTCTTCGATTTTTTTGACCAAATCATTTAATTGATGACAATAACGTTCGGCATTAACAGTTTCATCCGGTTTAAGAAGCTCATAATAGAACCACATTATTCATATCCTACTAGATGTACAAAAGAATCTTTTTGGCATAAATATTCGGTTTTGCCATTGATGTAGACGGCTGGCCGAGGTCTATCTATGAATGTCTGCGTTGAAGATTGTCGTACAGGATCTATTTTTCGTCGCCAATAACAATTTTTCATAAAAAATCCTTATGCTGCCTGGAAAGCAATGATATGCATGTGTTCAAACAACGGAAAATGCTGTTTTTTGAGAATTTATGCGGAACCCACTTTCCGAGCTTCTGAATTTTTCCCATTTCATGCAGTCGTCTTGAAACTGTTGCTTGATCAACTCCTAGTTGTTCTACAAGTTCTTCTTGTGTGACGGGTTTTCATTCAACAACGCTTCCAAATTATTTGCCTTTAATTTTCGTGGCGTTCCAAAGCATGGTCAGTCACTCACGTCAAATTACCGTCTTCAAAACGATAAAACCAGTATTTGCACGTATTGTGGGATACAGTACCTTCACCAAGAACAGAACAAATTGATTCACATGCGTTAGCAGCATTTTTTTCCTTGCTGGAACTCATACCAAATGCAGTGTCGAATATAAAGCTTTTCGTCGCTCATCGTGTTCAATGTTATTTTGTAAGATTATCTGCACCATTAAATCATAAAATATGATGTTTTTGTTGAAATAATGTAATCCAATATTAAGTCATTTCTATGTTCTTGAGATAGCGCCTCTACCTCTATTGTAATTTCTATCTGCGTGATTTCCTCTCTTGTAATTATAATTTATTCCTAGCTTCGCGCTCTAACGGTTTTTGATATATACGCAGTTAAATAAATAAAGTGGATACATTTTATTTTAATGTGCATTTTTCTAAGCCCAAAACTCATAAATCTCAACAGTTTTAGATAGTTTGATACCAACTTTACAAATATTTAAAAAGGCAAGAAATTATTTGAATTTAAAATAATTATACCAGAACGCTGAAAAAAAAGACTAAAACTTTTGCATACCCCTAATATTTTTTATCAAGAATTTATTTATCTGTTTACACGTTTGAGTACCAGTGTTGCTAGATGGGCCGCTTTTTTTCGTGCATGCGCGGCGCAGTAGCTATGAATTCAGCGGTGTATATGGGTACATACTGTTCGAGCGCGACAAAAGCTGTGTTCCAATATTCACTACCAATCTAAAACTTATAGTTTATGTTATAGCACTATAGCATTTTATTACTGTTAGTGAATATCGGAATATAGTCAAGTTTGGCGAGCTACAGTGAATAATTTTTAAAAAAAGCTTAAACAGAGAGCCTAAGAGTACCTTTTTTTTCCTAAATTAGTACTTCATTGAAGCCGATTTCCAACCGCATACGCGAAAAAAAGTGGTCCATCTAACAACACTGTTGGGTTCGTGAAGATGCAGTTAGAAGAGTACTTCTTAGATGCATAATTTAAAGGAATAGATACTGCATGTATTTTATTCTACTTAAATTATGATATTTATGAATCACATAAAGATACAAAAGGAGCTAAAAATGATAAAAATTTATCACATGTATGTAATTGATTTAATTAATACAATGTTTCTAAAAATATTTTATTGTTTTTTGCTATTTTATTGTTTTATTGTTTTATTGCTTTTATTGTTTAAAATATGATAAAATATTTCACACAAATTTTCTCACATTGCTAATAAGCCAGAATTCATTTTTAATTTTAATTTAATAATTTACGTAATAGTTTTTAAAACCGAAAGATAAGCTGCAGATGCCTTTAAGATCTGAAATAAAGCATATTATATTTTTTACTCTCTCCAATAGCTTTATATATAAATAAATTAAATACACTATAAATAAAATAATTAAATAAAATAGTTATATAGTCTATAGTTATCTTATAGAAAATCTTCGCAAAGATCATTGAATATACCATGCCAAATGTTTCCAAGGAAAAGACATAAAACTTTCCAGCTGTTAAATATAATGGTTTTTGCGATCGAGTCATGCATATCATTAAAAGACGTACAGATTCAATTGGCAATTCATACCATTTTGTTGAATAACATATCCAATCTAATGCTGTGCTCTGAAATAAAACATTGATTTTTTAAATATTCTTTACTTTTTTACTTACCCTTAAGAAATTTAATTTTTTAACAAATTTTTTAAATTAAACACTAAAAATAAATTATAGATTTTTAACAAAAATGAAACAAAACTTGAAGAAACTATTGACATAAAATCGGATTTAAATAAGATGTTATTTTTTAAATGTAATTACATAAATCTTTAATAATTTTAATTTATATTAAAAAGTAAAATTTATAATTATTAGATTTTTTTACATTTCTTGCTTACAAATTATTTATAATATTTTTATATATATAATTATATATATATATACATATACATATATATATTGTATATTTTCTTCAAGTTTTCTAGATTTAAATTAAAATTTTCTTTATTTATGATGTACAATAATAATATACAATAGAAAATATTAAAAATAGTATTCTCACTTCACTAATTAAACATTCTCCTATAAAACAATAGCAAAATGCCAATAACACCACCGCTCCGGAATATATTAGAAAATAAATAATCTCGTTCATTTCTTTTCCATTTTTGGCGGTCTAAAATATCATATTTGCTGAATGTTATAAGATTTTGTTAAAAAAAAGACATTGAAAACTTGTACAAGATATTACAGACTTGCAAAAACTGGATCTTTAATCACATTTTTTTAATAAATAATAACAAAACAATACATATAAAAAATATATTACTATATCGTTCTTTTAATAGAAAAATAACAACTTAAAATGAGCAATTTTTCAGTAAGGCATTTGAAAAATTCTAAATTGGAATAAAAAGAAAATGTTTTCATTAGGATAATTAATGTGCATCCTTCTCGCGGTGCACACCCTTCGTGAGGGAGCTTGTGTGCTTGCGATGATCCATTGAGCTATGCCGGCGGGGAGCTACGGCTCTATGGGTACAACTCAGCCAGATAGGTCAGTGGGGAGGAACCACGCGAAAAGTGCACCAGGGCGTGAGTCGTGAAGACTTTGGGATGGGGACTGGGTACATCGCCCACTTGTCAAGGTAGGGGCCTGAAAAAGCTATAAGTGATGAGGGTGGGAGGGAGGCAGTGCACTGATACTAATGGCGCGCTGCTCCGTCCATCAGGTAAAGATGCGGGCGCACCCCTTGCCTCTTGGTACCTGGTAGGGGAGCGTCTACCAGGCGCCCACCTGAATCGGACCTGTCGGCCCCAGTGCGCTGCGATGGCTGTATGCAGTGATGCGATGTTGTAAACAGCGGCCATGGCTTTCGAGCCCCACACAAGAAAGATCTGCATATATGTGTTGCGCAGAATGTTTTGCGCAGCATATGTACGCGGTCCTTGTTTGTATGGGACTCGGGAGCCGTGGACCGTTGTTCGCAATATCGTATCACTGGCTATACGCTTCGCGAAGCCACCGCAGCAATTATAGTGGAGGCCCTGATAGCGAGTCGAGACTGAAACCGAGGGAGGATGGTTCGCGGGGTTGGGGGACTGAAGTAGCCTGTTATAGGCGGCTCGAACTTGTTAGTCGAGAGACATCTTCGAATACCTGAGTTACCCGTTGAAAATTTTCTCCCGGGCACTCTCACATCTTCTCTAGATGTTCGGACCAGGGTGGTGACCCATTTTGGGCCGGCGGATGGGTAGATCCCTTCTTTTGCTCTCGATCGCAGAG